TCGTTTTGCATTAAGTGTAGTAAATGATACAACATCTACTGATATTGGTAAACTAGTATACTATGCCTACATGGAATTTAGACTCAGATATGGTATTGTTCTTTGGGGATCCAATTCCAAAACAAAAAAACTACTCAATGCACAGAAATTAGTGGTGAGGACAATGGCAAAAGTTTCCAAAAGAAAAAGCTGTAGATCATTATTTAAAGAATTTGGAATTTTAACAGTAACAGGTTTATATATATTAGAAATTTTCAAGTTACTCTACAATAATCAGGACAGCTTTGATAAGTTTAAATTTAACCATAACTATTTCATACGCCACTCACACTTATTTCAATATCCACACCATAGACTTTCTCTGTATGAAAATAGTCCAAATTACATGGCAATCAAAATTTTTAACAAGCTATCAAAAACCATATGCAAAAATTCATCAAAAAATACCTTCAAAACCATACATAAATTATTATTGGAAAAATCTTACTATAGCATTGAAGAATTTTTTCTGGATAATTTTGGAGGGTAAGTTGTGCCATGGTTTAAGAAAGAGTCCTTATTATTTTTATTTTATTTATTTATTATTATTATTATTAATATTATTATTTTTTTTGCTGTAGTAGAATTATACACAGGACAAAGCCTATATCCTGTCCTGATACAGACCAGACTGGTATTTCGTCATGTAGTTTGAGCTTAGTTTTGAGAATTGACAGATGTTTTTTTTTCTTTTTGTACAAATGAATGAAATGAAATGAAATGCTTTAGTTAGTTTACAGTATTACTATTACATTATTAAAGTTTTAATAATTGTAATTAGTTAGCCTATATCAAATATATCAGTGTAGTATTAGTTTTATAAATATTGACAAAACTCCTATCTATGTACATTGTACTCCAAAAGATGTTATGAGTTAATAAATAATTTGAATTTGAATTTGAATTTGAACGACCGTTGGGAAGTACCCTTTATCCCTACCGACTACACTCGGGATAACTTTACTTCCGATCCAACGACCGTTGGGAACGATCTTACCTTTAACGACCCACTCGACTTATCCATCCAACGACCGTTGGGAAGTACCCTTTATCCCTACCGATTACACTCGGGATAATCCTTACTTCCGATCCAACGACCGTTAGGAACGATCTTACCTTTAACGACCCACTCGACTTATCCATCCAACGACCGTTGGGAAGTACCCATTATCCCTACCGACTACACTCGGGATGACCTTACTTCCGATCCAACGACCGTTGGGACCGATCCTACAGTTAAAGACCCACTCGATTTATCCATCCAACGACCGTTGGGAAGTAACCTTTATCCCTGCCGACTACACACGGGATAACCTTACTTCCGATCCAACGACCGTTGGGACCGATCCTACCTTTAACGACCCATTCGACTTATCCATCCAACGACCGTTGGGAAGTAACCTTTATCCCTGCCGACTACACTCGGGATAACCTTACTTCCGATCCAACGACCGTTGGGACCGATCCTACAGTTAAAGACCCACTCCATTTATCCATCCAACGATTTAAATAAAGATAAATCTCTTCTGATGGAATTCCAAAAAAACTACCAGAAATCAGACTCATTAACATAATTAGATTTGAATCTTTCTCTAAATTCAGTAAGCTCAGTTAAATTCTTAGGCATCATAGTGGATCAAAAATTGACTTGGCAAAATCATATTGGTGAAGTTGTAAAAAAATTAAATAAAGCTCATTTTATGTTCATTATTTTATCTAAATCTGTTGACATATCCACTCTCATGATGGTTTATTACGGTTATGTCTATCACTTGTTTAATTATGGTGTGATTGATCTTCTGGGGAAATTCAGATAGGAGAAAAAAAGTTTTTAAAATGCAGAAGAGAATTATCCGTATTATTTTTGGACTTAAAGGAAAGAAATCCTGTAAGAGTATTTTTAAAAATCACAAAATTCTTACTTTTCCTAGTATATACATATATAATTTAATTTTGTATATAAGACCAAATTTATAAAATTTTCCAAATAACTCTGATTTTCACAACTATAACACAAGACAAAAGAATAGCCTTACATACCCTAGACATAACACCTCCACCATTGAACATTCTCCATATTACTCTGGTATAAAATTGTATAATAGCCTGCCTAGCACCATAAAGGGTTTGACAGATTTTAAAAGATTTAAAACCAGTTTGTTCAAATTGTTGTCAGATAAATGCTGCTACAAGATTGGGGACTTTTTCAATTAGATATTAGTATGTCAAATCAATAGTTAGTTGTAATGGTTGAACAGTAAGTAGTTGTAGGGGAGAAAGTGTATACATATAGATTATAGCTCTTAATTAATTAGTGTAGTAAATTTGCCAAATGTATAGTTATGTTTATTCTTGACTTGACACAATTCATGTATAGAAATGTACTGTAAATAAAGGATTTTTTGATTTGATTTGATTTGAACGACCGTTGGGAAGTGACCTTTATCCCTGCCGACTACACTCGGGATAACCTTACTTCCGATCCAATGACCGTTGGGACCGATCCTACCTTTAACGACCCACTCGACTTATCCATCCAACGACCGTTGGGAAGTAACCTTTATCCTTGCCGACTACACTCGGGATAACCTTACTTCCGATCCAACGACCGTTGGGACCGATCCTACCTTTAACGACCCACTTGATTTATCCATCCAACGACCGTCGGGAAGTAACATTTATCCCTGCCGACTACACTCGGGATAACCTTACTTCCGATCCAACGACCGTTGGGACCGATTTTACATTTAGCGACCCAATTGATTTTTCCATCCGACGACCGTTGGGACCGATTCTCAAATAAACAACCTCTCCCAACCATCCGACCAACGACCGTTGGGAAATAACGTCATTTCTCCGACCTATTAATCAGGATCAACCGGACTTTAAAATCCCAACCTATTCCACGATCCGGTTTAAAGTTATCTTACCACCTTGCTAATCTTATTGTTGGTTATGTGGGCTGTGATGAGACCGAAAACGTAAATTGTTGGACATCGTCCTAAACGTCACGGGTCTGAGCCTTAACCAACAAATATAACCGGACCTTGGCTTGCTGAGCTATTTGGACAAAATTTAAATGTAAACGGCTTTACCAGGTGACAAGAACGTTGTCGACCAGATAAGCGTTACATTTTGGCGCCCGAACAGGGACGATTCAAACAACAGATACGATACGATACGACAGCCCGACGACAAGCTTGACGACTTATTTTTGACGAAACTGGATAAAACGACCAACTTTAAGCCAAGAACATACTTCGTAGGATTGATCGATCAAAATGTATTCACTAAGGCATTGGATTAAAATATTTAGGATTCTCTTCACCCTGTCTGTGAACGAAGGCGAGGGGGGTAGTATAAGGAAAAACAAAGACTAAAATCCTTGGAAGGCTACAAACCCAGCCACGACAGAATCAACACCAACAACTACATCGGACGTACCGATAACTACAGTAAGCACCACGGCCACTATGTCGTCAGAGTTCCCCGCTCTCCCCCCTGCTACATCAGTAGCACCATCGCCGTTTTCCTAAGATGGCCGGGTAGGCTGGATATATTCTTTAAACAAAGCAGAGTTGCAAAAAGAGATGCAGAAGTTTAATTTGGATACGAGAGGAACGGTCAATGACCTACGTAAAGTGTTTCGAGATTTTTTGCGACAAGGAGTAGGAATGACTACACCACCTGCTTCGACTGACATTGGCGAATGCACTTATCCGAACCCCTCGACTCACATCCAAACAAACCCCTTGGATGACGCTGGGTTCACAGGAGATTTCAACCCTGAGGGGCTAAAGTACGGTCAGAATGATTGGACACAAGAAAGTGAGAGCGTGAGAGAAATGTTAGGTCTACCCCCTGACACCGACTTTAAAGAAGTTCAACGAACCCTCTCATTGTTAGTAGGCAAAGCGTCTGGTTACAACCAACCCTTGGCAGCCACACTGGACTCCCAAACCATTACGGTTCAAACTTCTGAGAGGCCAACTATGAGTGCAATGCAACAAATGACAGCTTTCAGTCCTACTGTGTTAAATCGATCACAAAAGGATTCTATAGCAATTGGTCAAATATGTAACCAAGTGCGTAAGTGGAATCTCAGATTCTATGGCATCAAAGACCCGATATCCTTTTTAGAACGACTCAATGAACTTATTGAAGCCTACGACATGAATCACGATATCTTGATTAGGGCTCTGCCAAAATTATTTAAAGGTCAGGCTCTCTATTTGTATAGAAATAACAAAAATAATTGGAAATCTTATGAGGACTTTCTTCTTGATTTTGAGGAATACTTTCTCCCACCAGATTATAGGAGAAATTTGGAAGAAGAGATACTCAAAAGAACCCAAGGAGAACACGAACCACTTCGCAATTTTGTTGTTGCATTACAAATGCTAATGCGACGTCATGGTTCATATTCGAAAAATTACCTTCTTAATAGGATATTTAGGAACATGAGACCAGAGTATAAACTAACGATTGGAAGGGAGCAGTTCCAAACAGTTAGTGAACTACTGAAACTAGCCGAGGGCTACTAGAGCTACATAAGGGAAAAAAAGAACTACCGACCTCCTCCTGCACCTGCTCAGAGCATATTTCCCGAAGCAGCTTTTACTCCAAAACCTCGTATTAGCAAGTCTGTCGAGGTTGACATGATTGAAACTCCGAAACCACGTGAAACGCCCGTTATTAGACACATCGATAGGTCCACTTCTCTAAATCAAGATACTTCATTGAACAAACATTCATACCCAGGGACTTCGAAAACAGTTTTTAGGGCTCCCGATAGGTCGCAACAGACACCGATTTGTTGGAATTGTGAGAAAGCGGGGCATAGATTTTTTTAATGCAAGCTACCTTAGATCATCAGGTGCTATAATTGCAAAAAGGAAGGAATACGAACATACTTATTACACATGAGTCATTTGTTTTATGAAAACAAAATCACTACTCACATCGTAGAAGCCTGGTGGGGGAGGAACATTGAAGCCAGGGTAGTGCACTATTTTTCTGATGTCATATTTATCCTTGCTTCCTTCTTCAACTACTTCCCCAACTTCTGTGTCAGGGTCATTCACCTCTATCAAAAGTCATAATAAAAATAAGGCTCACACTCTTTAATTTAAATTAACTATCCAAATTTAAGATTTACATTCAAAGAATTTTATTTTTTAACCAACAAGAATTAGTTCCATCTTACAACGACAGATTTAACTGACGGGGTTTGTCTTGGGCGGAAAAAAAATACCTTGGTATAAGTAGTAGATACTTAAACAATCTTGTGTCAGTGAATCACAAGTAAACCCCAGATTTATGTCAACTGACTTGTGGGCATAAACTTTTAAGTTTTAACCATAAACATGATTGTTTCAACAGATTTAAGAATTACTAATCAAAGATTATCTGTGTGCTTACAATGAGATGTTAAACAAAGAGTTACTTAGGAAGATGTGACTCCTTTTTTTAAATTTATGTGTTAAAAGAAGGGGTCTCAACCCCGGGATCCCGAATCCCGGCCGATTTTTGATACCTAGAAATCCTGGGATTGGTGACTTTTAATCCCGGGATTAACGGGATCGCAAAACCTGTTTGTATTTTTTTTTTTTTTTTTTTTGTGAATTTGAGGACTTCAACTTACGGTATATAAATTAAAATACGTCCAATAACTCTTGAAACAGATATACAGTAGACCCTCTCTAATCCGGCACTGCACCACTCCGGCACTCCAGTAATCCGGCATCTTTTGACGGGAGATCTTCTGCGATCGCGGCAAAATTCTGATTATCTCCCGCGGTCATGGAAACGTCATCGTCGCCATATACGATCGCGGCAAAATTGTGAACATCTCCCGCGGACAGATAGACGTTATCATTGAATCCCGCGGTCACGGAAACGTCATCGTCGTCTTGCGCGATGGTTTCAAAATCATGCACATCCCCGCCGTCATGTTGACATTATCGTTGTCTTCCGCGGTCGCAGCAAAGATTTTATCATCTCCTGCAGCCGTGTAAACAACTTTGTCTACTCCCGCGGTTACAGAAACGTCATCGGTGTCTTGCGCGATCGCGGCAAAATCATGAACATCTCCTGCGGTCATGTAGACATTATAGTTGTCTTCCGCGGTCGCGGCAAAGATTTTATCATCTCCCGCGGGCGTGTAAACTTTATTGTCTACTCCCGTGGTCACGGAAACGTCATCGTCGTCATGAACGACCGTGGCAAAATCATGATTATCTCCCGCGCCCGTGTTGGCGTTATCATCAACTCCCGCGGTCATGGAAACGTCATCATCGTCATGCACGATCGCGGCAAAATCATGAACATTCCCGCGGACCTATAGACGTTATTATCGCCTCCCGCGGTCACGGAAACGTAATCGTCATCGTCTTGCGCGGTTGCGGCAAAATCATGAACATCTCCCGCGGTCATGTAGACATTATCATTGTCTTCCGCTGTCGCAGCAAAGATTTTATTATCTCCTGCGGCCGTGTTTCAAACTTTATTGTCTACTCCCGCAGTCACGGAAACGTCATCGTCAACTTGCGCGATCGCGGCAAAATCACGAACATCTCCCGCGGACGTGTAGACGTTATCATCGCCTCCCGTGGTCACGGAAACGTCATGAGCAATAGTGGCAAAATAATGATTATCTCCCGCGGCTGTGTAGACGTTATCATCGTCTCCCAAGATTACGGAAACATCATCGTCGTCATGCCCGATCGCGGCAATAGCAGTTTCCGATCACGCGATCTTCGGAGACGAGTTTTAATTGCATTTTAAGTGTTTTTAACTGATAACATTCCAGTAATCCGGCATTTTCACTAATCCGGCAGTATTACGGTCCTATATCTGCCGGATTAGTGAGAGTCTAATGTACTCTTTATTTTTAGGACGATAAATATATATATATATATATGAAATAGTATAAATAATGGTCTATTTTGATAGGAAAATTAAATTTACATTACACTCAACAGGCGAACGAATGTAAATAATATTTATATGTTATATTATATGTTTCAGTTTTTAGACGAATCTATACTTATTTAATACGCAAGCAGGATTTTTGTGACTATTACTCCTCCGAAACTACTGAACCGATTGACATGTTTTTGGTGTCATTGGAAAGAGCGTAGCGTGAAGTTGTGCAGGAAACTTTCTTTTAAGGTAAATAATTAGAGAGTGAGGCCCTGGGGCCCTTTAAAGTTTTGTATTTCTCCATATAGTCGGGGGGCAAACTGTATTCCGTGGGATTTTTTGTGAAGGGAATGTGTGACTATGTGGAATATCTTTATTATATGTCACATAATGGTGTAGTACCGGGTGTTTACCCTCAAATTGCGGGGTTTGGTTTTTATGACGTCGTAAATCCAAGATGGCCGCCATGTGTGACATCTATTCATTAAATTAATAATAACTCTTTTCAGAGTAAAATAATCAAATTTTAATTTACACCACTGAATTCAGCTCAAAAAATCAAACAATTTGGTGTTTTAAATCATTGCTCTATGACCATTGGTTACCGAGATATTGAAGGCGGAAAACACAGAACATTGTCCCCATGTTATCCTTATGGGGAAAAAATAAAATTGTATATCTAGCTTATTACTCAGCATATCTTAATAATAATTGGTATGTGGCTTCATTTAGTAGAGATCTACTTGATTATGGCCTAAAATCCCCCATTTTTACATTTCCGTGGCAGCAAACCTGCATACTAACTTCCAATGTTATTCTTATGGACAATTTTTTTACTTTGAGAAATGATTATGTGTGGCTCCATTTTAATTATTTATTGAAGCATTTGTAATTCGTTGAGTATACAGGTCTGCTGCTACGGGTAAGTCTGCTATAAACAAATTACAGGTATTAGAAAATAAAATAAATTAGACTATAGTTGTGAGGCATATGTAATTTTGTAGGATTTTGAATTAAGCAATTGTATGATTGTTGGCGATTGATAGGTAATGACATGTAGAACCGTGTACTACCGAGTATTTTGTCTGAAAGTGTGGCCAAGCTGGTGTTTTTGGCCGCCATCTTGGATCCGTCATATTGGATGTTAATAACTTTTTTATACAATGCTAGTGTTATGACACATCATTATGAACTAAATTTTTACGCTGATTTCAATGCTGAAATATGTTTTTAAATATATTTTTTCGTTTGGAAGATATATTCAAATAAAAACTCTCCCCCATACATTTCTTACGGACGTTTCGTACTTTGAATATTTTTTAAATTATTTTTCTTATATCTCCAGTTCCTATTAACGCTTGCAGTTCGTTCTAGTCTTAAGATATTCAGTGATGTATGAGCTTTCATTTGAGCTATTGATCTTTAAATTCGGTTGAGTTAGAGCGTTAGAGTCGAGCTACGAACCCTAACACAATATTAAATTTAACTTATTACAAATTTGTTTATTTTATTTTATTTATTTATTTGTTAACGGTTGCACCATTTTTACATGAATAATACAATAATCTTACATACGGAAGAAGCAGAAAAAAATCACAGGCCAGTACAAAAGTAGTGAAAAAAAACTGGAAAAGAAGACTTCAATACAAGACATAAAAAGATAAATAACAACTATAAATAACAAACTATGAATAACAAACTATAAGTAACAACTATAAATAACAAACTATCTGAACAAGTTGACAAAACGAGATATTCGAAAAACAAAACCAGTATAGGAACAATAACAATGATGCAATGCAATAGCTGAGTGAAACTTCAGTAAAGAGGCAGAACAAACGAAAAACAGATAAAACTTTCAGAAAAATAACAATATGATAAACTCTGTACAAGAACAAGATATAACAATGCAATAACAACAGGATAGACTATATTAACAAAAATAAATAACACTGCAATAAATAGAAAGTTTGGAAATATGCAAAGATTGATGCAGGAGTTCAGCAAAAAAAGAAAAAAAGTTCTGTTGTTATTAAAAGATGTATATCTCGGGTTATTAGTACGTCACTAAGTTCTTCCTGGTCTCAAATTACTTGGTTAATGTTTGATTTTACATTTTATTAATCACTAAATGAAATCTGACTAAGTTATTTTAAAATGAGTCATGAACCATCATTTAACATTAAATTATTTTTATGTCCAAAACTTTCTTTGGTTAAAGACATACAGGGCTAGTCATCAGTGTTACAATTTTTAGACGTGGAACCTTTTAGTCTTATATGCCTCATCACACATAATTTACTTTGTACTTACACCAAACAAATGTTGTAACCCTGATTAGCCCTGTATGTCTTTAATTGCTTTAACCAAAGAAAAATTTCTAAATAAAAATAATTATTAATGTTAAATAATATTATATAAAAATCTAATGGTGTCTGTCTGTATGTGTATTACTAATAGGTGCAAAAACTACTGAACCAACTGGGCTTAAATTTTACAAAAATATAGTTACCATACCAAGGACCATTATAGGACTATTCACACTTCGATACTGACCATGGGCTTTGCCCCTTTGGCTTTAAAAGTTCTGAGGTGAGGATTTTAAAAGTAAATATTGATTGGTCTCTATGGCTGCAATGAGAATACTCACAATGTTTAAATTTGCTTTGACATTTTAATGTAAATAAGAAGAACTGCCAAATTGCATATTTCACATTTTAAGACAGCTGATCCAATGAAATTTAATATAATATTTCATACAATTATGTGGTTGGTTTATTTAATCTAAAAATGTATCAAAGATCATTTATTTAAAAACTATGTCAATGATTATAGAAATAAAAAAATATTCTAAAAGCATTGCTGCATCAACTCAGGCTCTACTTTCGATTTTTAAGGTGTCTTAAGTGTTATGAAAATAATGTTATTGATATATTTTCATGGAAACAGTAAGAAAATTACAATGTATAGATGTTTTATATGAATTTGGAGTCTTCTTTAAATAAATTTGAACTGCTTAACATATGTTAGATTAACTTAACATAACTTTCACATCAATTGTTTTTTTATATGTATATTTAGGTATATTTAGTTATTGTGTTTTGCTAAACCTATGCTTAAATTAAACTAAAGAATATCATCAATAACTAATTAATTTAAATA